CAGTAAGTCTATTCCTTTTCTATAGTTTCCTTTTATGTTTATTGTATCACCTGCTAGTGCGCCTTCTCTCCATTTCTGATATGTTCACTGCTTTTCTCGCATCGAGCGCCAACTCTACATATTAGGAATCTTTTTTCTGGAAACTTCCTTATATACTGATCTTCTAATCACATGGACTTGGCCACAGGGCTTTGCGTACATTCATATGCTTCCATAGATTACAGAGTTGCCTCTAGCTGGAATTGAACTGTCGACCTTGTCTGTGGAAGGAGGGGTGCCTAGACCACTAGGCTACGGGACCCCATCCTTTTTTTTTTTTTTTTTTAGGAGACTTCATGTAATTAATACTACAATTCAAATCTTTTACATTTATTAATATAATTTTGGGTTATTGAAACTAGTAATTGATTATTTATTTATTTTAATTTTCTAATTCTATCTCATTTTCAAGTTCATTTTGATTATTATGCAAATCTCTAATACTTTGTAAAATTTCTATCAACTTGTCATTAGTTTTTTGCCATAACCCACGATAGTTTGGACAATTTGAAATATTAACAAAATTTAGCAATAAATTAATAATTATTAAAAGCTCTTTTTTTGTCATATTTTTTTCATCCATGGCTGCTGCTTTTTTCTGAGCAGTAATAGATATTGGTTGAGGTGAGGAATCTGACTTGCTGCCTCTAAAAGTCTCATTAATCAACATTATTCGTCTTTCGCATGCTAAATTACTGAAATCTTTCAGTTGTTTACTAAGTAGGTGTTCCTCTCCAAGGCTCTTAAAAGTATGATTATCATCTTGAGGATTCAAAAACTCAGTTTTACGCAAATGGTCCCAAAATCTTTGTGATTTTAATGTATAATCTGGATGTATCCAGCCTCCTGATGATTTGTTATTCGCATGCTCGATAATATTAAATATTTTGTAATGTAGCTAATTATTATCAAAAAGTAAGTACAAATGTAATCTTTTTTTATTTAATGCAAATATAACTTTATTAACCTTTATAAACTTCATACAATTACATGCTGCTATTCTCCAATGTTTTTGCAAAGATACAGAAGAAATTAAGGCCTTTAAATATTTATTAACCTCTTCAAGAATAGTGTCAAGGCCTTGATGTTGATTGCTATATCCTAATTGTAAAATAACTGAATATAACTTTATATGCTGTTTAATCTCAGGATTTAATCACATCAATTGTTCTTCATATGTTATTTCGATTAAACGATACATAGGGTGTTTATGACCAGACCATATTGGAGCAAATATGCGTTAAGCAGCACTTATTAATAATGGTTGATTGTTTCTAATTCTTATGCAAAAATTAATGACTGCTTGGATATAGGTAAATGTCTATAATAATTATTAGTTAAAAGTTTTAAATATATTTGATATTTTATTAAAGACCTTACTTGTTCAAATTTTAATTTATATATGTGATCATTTTGTTTTCTTGCCCAACCTAGATAATCATCAACTAAGGGATTTTTTGTCACAGCTATGTATGGCCATAATAATTCACATGTGACAGCATGTTGGTAAATATTACAAATAGAGTCCTATGATTTGTGATGATTGGCACACTTTTTAAAAAACACAAGTTAGTTTTCAGTTCTGTATCCTTGAAAAGAAGCAAATTGTTTGATATTAATCATCCTAAAGAAAATAAGTTAACAAAGATAAGATTGTAATACATATCACTCTGATTATATCGACACCTCAAAAAAATCAAGAGGTTCAAAAGTTTAAAAAAGTATCGGTATATCCAGATATTGATATAGCCAGGATGGCATGTAATAGTAATTTTCATGTTAAAGAATATAGTTCATATACTTTAATAATAAAAAGATGACATTACCAATTTAACTTCATGAATGCCTTAAGCATATTCATTTTTTTGTGCAGGGTACTGGGAATCAATATGAGCTACAGAAAGACTTTTTTAATCTTTTGAGCTAGAGTATAAGAAACATTATTGCAAGTAATGGGTAGCCATTTTCACTCTTCTCGGTTTATTTCCATGATGTTTTGTATATATGCTAGAACTTTTTTAACATTATCTACTGAGTTAGAGTTTAATTCTAATGGGTCTAGTATATATATTTTAGAAATAACAATATTGTGCTCAGAGTTTGACTGCTGTATAATACTAATATAATCAAAATTGGGATTGTTATGTTCGTGAGCAAATGTATAAGGCTTTATTATAAGGGATTTTGATTTGGAGGTTATATTAATCTAGATAACCTTATTAGCAGATTCCATTTGTAAACAGCCAATATATCTAGTTTTTCATTACATTTAAGGCAAGTATGTTTTTTATTATCAATATTAGTTGTATTACATTTTTTGCACCATTTAGATTAACTCCCAGTGCTTTTTTGATTTTTGATAATTAGGTCAATCATATTGTTTTCTTTATTTTTTTCAGCAACAAGCTCCTCTAAAATTGATAATAAGTATATTTTTAATTCTAATTTGTGTTCTGCTTACATTTTGAGTGCAACATAATATAGCTTATCATACTGTTTATTAGTTAGTGAATCACAAAGCCAGGGAGCAATTGTAAATTGAGCACAATCATTTTTATTCACATTGAGTACAACGAAACTTGTAATCATATAGTATATAACTGTATTATGACAATGATCAAGATAATTATATTGATCGCATTGCTCATTATCAAAGGCTAAAAACAAGAGTCCTTTAGTTAAAGGTTCAACTTCGATTGCTAATGATTTCAGCCAATTTATGAATGTTGTATAACTTCTGAAACTAATTATATAGTTATCAATGTCAATAATTGTTTTAGATTGTGCGATTGAATATTTGGTTCTAGTTATGGCTAGATTTATTTCTGATACATAGTTTTTATGTCTTGATCCATATATAGCATCAATAGCAACTATTTTTTTAAAAATTTTTTCATTCAAAGTATAAATATTATGGCTATTACTATCATTATGCGTAAGAGTATTAATAAAATTTACGAGAATTGAGTTATAATTAGATAACCAATTGTCGATACAAAATTTAATAAATTATTAAGTAAAAACTATTGCCTATTTAAAATTAACAACTCAATATCTTCATAAATGCTTTGACATTCCTGGTTGGCAATTTGAATTATAGAATCAATTCTTTTTTTTTGGTTACTATACCAGTTTTCCTATTTATATTTTAATACATTATTTTGTTCAGTTAACTCTTTATTTATTTTATTAATTTCTTGAACATATTTCCAACTTTTTATTACATAGTCGTATGCATATTCTAATTGTTTTTTGAGTTTTTGTATCTCATTTACTTTCAAATTTAACTGAAATTGAAGTAGATTAATGTGGGTTTCAAAAGTATGCAATATATTATCAGATACTTAAATACCAATCTTATAGGTTTCATTGCTAGATTGCATGACAACCTCATTAATAGCTTGCATGTTATTATATATATTTATTTCAACTTTTGTTCCAGCATACTCCATATGAGTCTGCTTTTCAACAAATTCATTATTGGAAACATTATTTATTTTTCTTTTTTTATTATTACATTAATTATTAAACAAATTACTAGGTAAATTACTAGACAAATTACAAGGCAAATTATTAGGCAAATTATTAGGCAAATTTGAACTTAAAAGAATTTGACACAAAAAATCAGATGCAATTAATTAATTATAATGCTTTTTGTATAAAAAAAAATCTTTTAAATGCATTTGAATTTGAACCAATTTAGAAAAAAAGATATAATATAATTGAAGACAACTCTTTGGTTTTTTACTATCTGCATGCTGTATAGTTTGTGATTCCTTCATTTCACATTCTAATAAACCAAGATCTTTATATTTTTTAAAAAAAATAGCAAAGACATATAGTAGGTCTTGTGTTCATGATCATTTATTATTTTCTGCTTGGTTAGCAACTACTTGGTTAGTTGCTACTTGGTTAGCTACTTGGTTAATTGCTGCTTGGTTAGCTCCTACTTGGTTAGTTGCCACTTGGTTAGCTACTACTTGGTTAGTTGTTGCTTGGTTAGCTATTGCTTGGTTAGTTACTACTAATCAAAAAAAAAAAGATTAGTATTAGTAAATCTTAATATAAGAAAGATTAAGCCAATAATACAATAAATTTATTATATACTAGTTTTAGTTTTTATAATATAGTGAAAAGGAATCAAACTTCAAAAATATCCCTGAGCTCACAAAAAACCATGGGGTTGTATAATATTGAATGGTTATATTACTGTATTAATAAGAAAAGAGGGACCAATGACATTAGTAAAATAAAGATCAAGACATTTATTTGTTTTTCGACAAATTCCTAAAGTTAAAGAAAAGAAAAGTTTAAGTTTTAATCTATTTTATAGTTTTTAACAATCTAAAAAACCTGTGTTTTAATATACTCATAAACTTCAAGAATGAGTTGATTTTGAAAAAGTATCAACTGATTATAAAACTACTTGCTTACAACTTCCTAGTTTCATAAGGATTCATTATGTTATGAAGACAATTCGTATAAATTTATCATGTGAAACCCATGAAAATGTTTAAAAATTAATAAGAAATTAGATGATTAAATTTCTAGATCATCTACCATGTAATGATTTTCATTCTAGAATCATCTATCATATGATGTACCAAATATGGAAATATCCCTGACTGCACTAACCACTATGCTATTGACCCTAAAGGTCAATTTAATAATTTTTGTTTTATTTTATATTTGATTAGTTAATAAACATTAATTATTAATTGTATTTCTTATTAATTATTAATTATATTTCTTTTTACTTAACAATATATAACTTTATGTTCTTATTTATCTTTTTGCAAATAACTTACTTTGTGAAATTTCGTTTTTATTATCCATTTATATATCATTTAGTAGATATTTGAAATTTTAGCATATAAAAAAAAGCGTAATAACCAATCAAATGCATGAACCTGTTTGTAGATCCTTCTAGAATTTTTGGTTGTTTTTGTTACACAAGATCCTGCAATCTAATTGCGATATTTAATAATATTTTGTAAATAGCTATAAGAATATAAAGTTTTTGAGCGCGAACAAAGCTAAACTATATAATGGTTTGGGATTTGGGCAGTAAGTATACCTATCATATGTATATGTTGTGCGTCAGATTAAGACTTGGCGTCAGATTAAGACCAACGTGCGTCAGATTAAAACCATTAGCCAGCATTAAATGATCTGCAATGATCTGCAATAATCGGCCTTGCTAAATTCTAGTTCTCACCCTAACCCTAACTCTAATTTAGGCCAGTTTTAATCTGACGCACAACATATATAAGCAAGAAATTTTTTGGAATTTTGAACGAAACGATTTAGACCAATCAAATCAATGCACAAGTCACATTTTGATCAACATGATTAACATTTTATAAATAATCGTTTATCTCACCAACTTGCTAGAGAGTTTCGCCTTTCGATTTTAAGCTTCTCCTTTCACCAACATTTCACCTAACTATAACCACAATAAACACAGCATAAGGTTATCCTCTATAGTATTAGTGCTTATAACTTTTTATCTTGATTTTTTTTGGCTTATTTTGTTTTGTCTCTATTAAATATTTTTTTTAAATGTACAAATAGAATGATAAAGGCAGTGAGTCCCTTCCGTTCTGCAACTCACAATGCTAATGGTTCTGTCAGGTTCGGACTGCCTAAACATCGTAAGTAAATAACAAGCAAATAATTACCTAGTATTTTATTGATTATATATGTATATATTAATGGTTTACAGATATTTTAATTCAACATATTTTGCGAAGCAATTTGGTCTTCGCAACGTGTTTGATCACGACAAGAACGGGCAACCAAGCGTGCAATCATTATTTCAATTATGTCAAAATTGTATTACTGAGATTCAGGTTTTTTTTTTTAATAGATAAAGAAATAAATATTTACTAAACATCAAACAAATACTGATAATAAGATTTATTTTTAGAAATCTAACGTTGACATACCTTCTCGCTTGATTCAAGTGCAACCTATGATAAATCGAATTATTCACGACATAAAAAATGTGGATACACAAGCTTCCTTAAGCGTTATTGTCCTGTGATGGTGGGAGAAGCTGATAAGAGATCCGAACTATTATATGAATTTATTTGGTGGATATTTGATTGCTTTG